GACCAAGCAGGGTAAAGGAATAGCATTACTACTTGTTGTTAGGGAGACTCCTATATATGTCGACCTCCATCCCCAACGGACAGGCAGACCTGCAAAAATGCTCAACCCTTCCTCATATCTGAGAGGGCACTCCCAACGAAGCCTTTCGAAATATTCAGCTTTCTTTCCCCCCGATAATACCTCTGCAAACAAGCTATACTAGAGCAAGAATATCTCATATATCATCAGGGTTAAAAGCAAGAGTATCCCATATCATGCTTTTTCCCTGTCTTTTCCTTTGGCCTTGGCCTTGTTCTTACCTGCAAGACAAGGAGAAAGAGAGCAATCAGTCAGCACTTGGAATCAAGCTTCCAGTCAGGAACTGACTGCCTGGAACCCCTTACCTGATTACTTACCTGGCATTGCTCTCGAGTACTCATCTTCAACATCTTATGCTTCCAGGGAAGATACCAGCATCTGCCTGAGGAACAGATAGGGCAAGTGAGAATGATACAAGGAAGCATGTGGAGACAAGCGTAACAGCACACGTGCCGATACATCCACTACTCTGTCAAAAGCAAAAGTATCCCATATCAGCAGGGTCGAACGTACTCTAGATTTGATGGACTTGTTTTGACCCTCAAATTCTTCAGTCGGCCTTATACTCTTGAGGAAACCAGAAAACCCTACAGCCCAGTTTAAGAATAAGCCTGTGGAAAGTTACTTCTTCAAAAGCAAAAGTATTCCATATCATCTCTTCTCATTTTTCTTCTCTTTATCCTTCATGTTGCCTGCAAGATAGGGAGAATGTGAACAATCAGCCGGAACTTGAAATCAAAGTTCTGATCTGGGACTGATTGCTTGGAGCTCTGATTGCTTACCTTGTCTGTCACCTCTTTCAGCAGATCCCCTAGCTCGGCGACTTGGAGGACTCCTACTACATGCTTTGTATCGCGCTTGACCAAGCCTGAAACTACAAGTAAGCTTCAAGTGAAATTGATACATTACCTTGTGCATCTCCACCAGTTAAAGATACCACCCCTGGATGGAGGAAGAGTACTTCCAGAGAAGATGCCACATCTACCTATGAGACAGATAAGGCAAGTCAAGACGATACCACACTCCGGATACTTAGAAGTTTCGTGATTACGAGATCATTCTCCCACAATATTTCCTAATGTCATTTGTACTAAATCATTCACTTGTACTCACTAAAAGAGAGCTTGAACCTATGTACTTGTGTAAACCCTTCACAATTAATGAGAACTCCTCTATTTCGTGGACGTAGCCAATATGGGTGAACCACGTACATCTGGTGTTTGCTTTCCTATCTCTATCCATTTATATACTTATCCACACTAATGACCGGAGCAATCTAGCGAAGATCACAAAAAGCGACCGTTTCCGCTACCTAGGATCTATCTTGCAAGAGAACGGAGAATTAGATGGAGATCTCAACCATAGAATACAAGCTGGATGGATGAAGTGTAAGAGTGCATCCGGCGTGTTGTGTGACCGTCGTAGGTCACTGAAGCTCAAGGGAAAATTTTATAGGACGGCAATAAGGCCAGCGATGTTGTATGGCACAGAATGTTGGGCGGTGAAGCATCAACACGCATACAAAATGGGTGTAACGGAGATAAGGATGCTTCGTGGGATGTGTGGGCACACGAGAAAGGATAAGATTGTGAATGAGGATATCCGAGGTAAAGTAGGAGTAGCCGAAGTTGAAGGAAAGATGAGAGAAAATCGGTTACGGTGGTTTGGACATGTGCAAAGAAGGCCTACTGACGCTCCGGTTCGAAGATATGACTACGGAACAGAGGTTCGGGGCCGAAGGGGTAGAGGAAGACCTAGGAAAACTTTGGAAGAGACCCTAAGAAAAGACTTAGAGTACTTGGATCTAACGGAGGACATGACACAAAACCGAGCGCAATGGCGTTCTAGGGTTCATATAGCCAACCCCAGTTAGTGGGAAAAGGCTTTGTTGTTGTTGTTGTTGGGTTTTTCTTTTATTTTTTTTCAATTTTCTAAGTTGAATCCCACTCCACGTTGTTTAGACTAGATTAAAAAGAATATCGCTCGAATAAAAAAATGGTTTGTTTTTGTGATTGTAAAATTAAATTCTTGGACTTTGAATTGGTTTTGGCGAATTGGGTTTCTTTTTCTATTTCAATTGTTTAAGTTTGAATCCCACTCCCGGAGGTTTAGATTAGATTAATAAGCTGGAATTAAAAATTGGGTTTTTTTAGTTTATGGGATTGTGTAGGGAGATTCTTGGACATTGGATTGGTTTTGGTGAATTGGGTTTTATTTGGTTTTGTGCAGGGAGAGCTTGTGCGTGCTTTAGGAGGAGCTGTGGCATCCACATCTCTTCTTGGAGTTCCTCTTGGACATAACTCGTCATTTCTTCAAGGGCCCGCCTTTGGTCCTCCAAGGATTAGAGAGGCTATCTGGTGTGGGAGCACCAACTCAACAACTGAAGAAGGTGTCTAATTATATAAATTAGTACTAAACTTTTGCTTCTCAAAACCGTCAATGTTTAGCTCTCTACCCATCAAGTGGTGCCACTTGAGAATTCAAAGTATACCATTGGCCGTTGTTTCTCATATTTAGAATTGCATTTAGCAGTTTATGCTATTAGTGCAACCAACTAATCTCAGAACTATCATGTGTATGTGCATGTACTCAGATTGTCCGAGAATGGCATCAATTCATGAAACATTTGCAATTTTGTGAATTGGAGATATCTGAACCTTCTTTTTTGGCAAAAGTGAATTCCCGGATAGGAAAGAATAATGCTTGTGGTTGTTGATGATTTCTTGTCCTTTCAATTTTTCTCTATATATATCATTTGATGGTGTGCGAAATCATTATAATATGTTGCTGGCAATGCAGGGAAAGAACTAAATGACCCGCGGGTGCTAACTGATGTTGGTGATGTTCCTGTCCAAGAAATTTGAGACTGGAGTAGATGACGACAGACTGATGAACGTCATAAGTGAGTCTGTCAAGCTTGTAATGGAACAGGTTGGTTGTAATTTCTATAAATTCAAAAAAAGTATTGCAATGATTTGTTTTGAGGAAAAAAACTGCAACTGTGGAAAGATTTAAATGGAAAAACTACATCAACCTATTGTTCTGTCAAAATTCTGCTTCTTGTTCCATGGGTAGCTTGATAACTCTGGCACCAGCTTTGCCATTTGTTAGGTTGTGTTGCAGAAGTTAGTTGCACAAGTTGAAATTTTGAACCTTATGCACCAAAATTTAATACATCTGTACTTTTTTCCTTGTTGGTACTTGGTAGCGTAACCTGCTGTGCTTAAAATGCTTTACTTTATTAATCTGGACTATGGTTAGCAGCAATTAATTGAACTACAAATGTTCGCTGTTCAGTTGCCTAGTCATATTCATTTCATAACCTTCTATAGCAGTTTTTTTTTTTTTTTTTTGCCTAGTAGCACTGAATTCTGCCAGTACGGCAAAATTGCTTGCAATGTGCTTATACCTTTTTTTTTTTTTGGTTATACAATATGCTTATAAATTGAAACTGAGCCTTTTGAGAAGTATATTTTGAAGCTGAGCCAGTGCAGTTCATATTTTACGTGCTTAGATATCAAGTACCCTGCGTGCAGTATAATGCCATTTTCAGGCCCTCAGGTGCTATGAACTCCTCTGAACACTTGAGGGATCAGGGTACATTTACCATTGAGTGTCTATATTTCCTTTTTAATTGGAGACTTTACTAGTATAGTGTGAACCAATCATGATCTTTTTCAGAAAAATTTGGTGAAAACTTTATGACTCTTCAGGCCAGACAATGAAGATTAGAAAATTCAGATGCCATCAGTGGGCAGCGCAAGTGTTCTGATATCCTGAGCTCATTCTGGAAATAACCAGGGCATGTTTGCATGTTCTTACTCGGAAATTTGTTTCCGGGAAAGCTTCAGACATATTGAGAGCGCTCTTTCATGAAAATGTTATCCTTTTTTGACTGAGACTTTTCATTCCAATGACTTTATGTATATTCTAGCTACCTTTTGGCTTTAATAGACGAAGTTTACATTGCGTCCATTCACTTTCAGGATCCACTGCGCCCATTAGTGTTAGGTGGTGATCACTCAATTTCTTATCCTGTTGTAAGAGCTGTCTCTGAGAAGCTTGGGGGACCTGTGGATATTCTTCATCTTGATGCCCATCCTGATATCTATTATGCCTTTGAAGGTAATAAATATTCACATGCATCTTCTTTTGCTCGAATTATGGAAGGGGGTTATGCTCGGCGACTATTGCAGGTAAATTTTTCTCTATTACTGCTCTGCATCTGCTCACTTTATGGCTTGCATTCACACTTATTTAAGAAATGTGCATTGATCCAAATAAGAAAATGACGTATATGTTTTATAGATTCACCTGGCCTTGCTTTCTAGGTGTGTCATTACTGGTTTTCGGTAAAGCATCTTATAGGATTTTGACATTGCTTGTGGGAACTTTGTAGATATACACGGTTGATAACATTTGCACTTTTGTCGCACTAGAAAAAAGATTCAAAGATTAGAATCTTTGGAGTGGGAGGCAAAATGTGATAGGAGCATATTTATGCGACTTAGTTAGTTTGTTTTCTTGCATTTTCATAGTTTGTTTGTGTTTATTATAATGATTTAAGCTATTTTCGTGTGTTTGTAGGTCCATATGACAAAGTTGGCAAAAAAGTGCAATATGGAGCATTTTGAGGCAGTTTTGGACATCAAATGGATAGCTTATGAATAGAGCAAGATGGGTGGACGAATTTGAAGTTCAAGAGGCTAGGAATGTGCTAAAAAGAGTGAAGAAATAAATCCAAGTCAAGGAAGATAAGAAATCAGCTCAAAAGAAGGAACATTATCCAAACCTTATCTTATCTTATCCTATCCTAACCCTATCCTATCTTAATTCCAGCTGCATGGGGGATTTATTTTCAAATTATGACACATTAAAATAGGTTTCTAGAAGCCCTTATCCACTCCTACAAAGGTGCCGCACCTTATCCCTTGTTTTTCTAGGAATCAGCCACAAAACAACCTTTCTAGAAGGCCTTATCCCTTGTCCTACAAATCTGGCACCTGGACCCTTTCTAGAAGCCCTAGAACCTGCAATCCTTTTCCCTTAGGATTGTGCAATCCTTTTCCCTTCAGATTTGGGTGAACCCTAGTCCTTTTCCTTCATGAATTGTGCCAAATACACACTCATTTCCTTCAGAAATTCGTGGGTTTCCCTAGCCCTATAAATACAAACCTTTGTGTAGCAATTAATCCACCACCCTCTACCACAATTCACTACATCATTCACCATACATCTCTTTTGTGCCGTGAGTATTGCAAGGAGAAAGAAGAGGAGCCTTTGTGCCGTGCCTATGCCCAAGTCTTTGGGAGTGCTGGAGCGTTCTTAGGTGTTTTCCATCTTTTACTTTCAATGTTTAATTTAAGTTGTCTTTGTTTATTTGCGAACATAAGGAACTAATTTCTTTATAGTTAGAGGTGAATTCGAAGCCATGATCATATGTTTTATATGAATTGATTTCCTCCAGTTATTGTTTCATGAATCGTGGATGTGGTTCACTTATCTGTTTTATTAAAAACTTGTTCTTGTATGTTGATTGAGGTGGCCAACTTAGTTTGCATGCATGAATTTGATGCTAGAGTATAAGGGAATTTCACCTAATCATTATGAACTTATATTCATGAGTAGTAAAAGTCGCTAGTCACGATTGTGTTAAGTAAATCCTAGGCAAGAGTAACATGTTTTTCATAGTTATGAATGCCTCGTCAATGCTTATGGTTTCCATTGAACTTAATGATCTTCGTTAAGTGTTTCTATCATGCGTATTCCATAGTTAGGGAACTTGATAAAGAATAATTTGGTTGTGATGCGTTTTCCATTTAATTCAATGAATCTAGGGAAATCTGAGAATTAATTAGTTCAATACAATTAATTTGGGGCATTGTCATTCATGGTTTGTAGAAAGAATAATTGGAAATCGATTTGTATGCATATGTCATGTGTGGAGAAGGAACCCTCTAACTAGCCTTTCACCATTCTATTTCATCAATTTCGTGTCTTCTTAAGTTTGTTTTACAAATTTCTGTTTTTAAGTTTTAATTTCGTCAAAACACAATCCCTTTTTCTTAAGTCTTGTTTTTAGAGTCAAAATCTGTTTTCTTTTAATCTTTTGAGTCAAGTTAAATCTTATTTTTGTCCAATTCACTTGTTAGGTCTAGAATTGAGTCTTTTTGGTTGTTTCTTGCTGTTTTTAGTGTTTTAAGTCAGTTTTGAGTCTATAGAGTCTAGTTTAGTGTTTTTGAGTCTTATTAGTGTTGATTAGCATCCTTAGTTAATTCCCGGTCTAGAACGATCCTACTTGCTTAATACTACAATTGTCATCAATAGGGTTTAATTTATGTGTCAAGTTAATTTTCACATCAAATTTTAGCGCCGTTGCCGGGGATTAGCAAAGTGTCGTATCTTTTGTATTTTCTTTTAAGTTTATCCGTGAGTTTGTGTGTGTGTTTTTTTGTGTTTCTGCCTTACCTTAATACTTGGTTGCTAATTGTGTTTGTTTCTTCGTTTCAGGTACTAGTTTATGACTCATAGTTCTCAACACATTAGTGCAAACATCTTGGAGTTCGACGACGATTTTGAAAGAACTTTGAGAAGAAAAAGGAAGCAACCAGAACCTAATCCACAAAGTTCTAGCTCAGAGGCCGAATCTAAGTTTGAAGAGCAAGAAGAAGAGGAAGTCATGGCAGCAGATAATCGTACAATAAAAGAACTTTCAGCCTCGAGGTTGGACGATGCCGTACCCCTTAGCATTCAATATCCTGTGGCTGCCCAAGGAAAGACCGATGAGTTCGAATTGAAGTCAAGCTTGCTGCACCATATTCCTAAGTACCATGGGCTATCCATGGAAGATCCAAACAAGCACTTGAAAGAGTTTGAAGTGGTGTGCTCAAGCATGACGCCCATCAATGTTGATGGGAGTATTCTGAAGATGAAGGCCTTTCCATTCTCTCTAATGGATAGGGCTAAAGATTGGCTATACAAACTAGCACCCGGAACGATCACATCTTGGGAGAGTATGAAAAGAGCGTTCTTGGAGAAATTCTTCCCAACTTCAAGGGTTATTCTTTTGAGGAAGAAAATCAGTGGTATTCAACAAAACCAAAACGAATCATTCCCAACATATTATGAGCGTTTTAAAGGTCTAGTTGCATCTTGCCCTCAACATCAAATGAAGGAGGAGCTGTTACTTCAATATTTCTACCAGGGACTCCTCCCAATTGAAAGACAAATGCTTGATTCCTCAGCGGGAGGTGCTTTGGTGGATAAAACACCGATAGCTGCCAAGGTTCTAATTGCCAACCGAGCGTTGAATGCACAACAATATGAAGGTGTTGGGCAAAGAAACACCTCATGGCAACAATTGAATGAGGTAAATTCCGTTTCTGATTTGCAATCTCAAATAACTAACCTTACTTCTATGTTTGCACGGTTTATGGAAGGATGCAAAGTGCAAGGAAATACACCAAGTGTGTGTGGCGTATGTTCTATGCAAGGGCACCTCAATGATCAATGTCCACAATTAATTGAGAATGGAGGATGGGAAAGTGTACATGCCGTGGGATATCAAGGACCAAATCAGCCACGAAGTGATCCATACTCTAATGCTTACAATCTGCGGTGGAGAGATCATCCAAATTTTAAATGGAGAAGCCACAACAACATGCCCAACAAGGGGGATTTCGGCAAACACCACCTGGGGTGTTTCAAATGCTGTATGTATCACCACAAGTCCCACCACAATCTGCCCAACAAAATTCAGGTTCGAATTTAGATAATGATACACTTCAGGTTCAAAGGCCATTGTTTCTTGCTGTTTTTAGTGTTTTAAGTCAGTTTTGAGTCTATAGAGTCTAGTTTAGTGTTTTTGAGTCTTATTTGTGTTGATTAGCATCCCTAGTTAATCCCGGTTTAGAACAATCCCTACTTGCTTAATACTACAATTGTCATCAATAGGGTTTAATTTATGTATCAAGTTAATTTTCACATCAAAATGCCTCCTGGAAAGTATTCAAATGAACATAGTGACTAGTCCCTTCCCGTGCTTTATGGATAACGCGTTATTTCTGATCTCGGAATCAAGAATGGCTTAATCACCTTATGTGACTTTCCATATAGTTACTGCATCTCTGATTCTTAAATTAAGTAGTTAGCAGAAGTAGCGTTTCATTGTTGGGCATCTGTCTGCAATATCAATGAATTCTACTTCATTAAGAGTGTTTTGTACTTGCTATAACAAGTTTCCCTACCTATGCCAATTCTTTTTCTGCTTGGCAATTGACCTAAAGTAATCGTGTATGCTCTTGCGCTCTCAGATTAAGTTGAATGCCCTGTTTTAGTTGCCATCCAGCATTTGCAGTTAACGTAATAAACTTGGTTTCTGACTTTTCAGGTCGGTATTAGATCAATTAACAATGAAGGGTGTGAACAAGGAAAACGATTTGGTGTTGAGCAATATGAAATGCGAACCTTTTCAAGAGATCACCACTTTTTGGAAAATCTGCTCTCTCTCTCTCTCTCTCTCTTTCTGTTCTTCTCTCCCTCCCCACCTCATGTGTCTTTGTGTTCACATTTATGAGCTTCTGAGCGTCTCTCGCTCTTTTTTTCTTTTGTTCCTCTTCACTAGCTTGCCTATGTATATCAATTACTGTGTTCTGTATCTTTATGTGGTTCTGTAGATTCCTGGTTAGATATTTGAGGAAATTATCTTCAGGAATCTCAACCTGTGATATATAAATGGCATACCGTTTCACATATATTTTGAAGGTAGCTCATAACAAAAACTTTCTTTGACAGAAATTAGGAGAAGGTGTGAAGGGCGTGTATATCTCGATAGATGTAGATTGCCTGGATCCGGCGTTTGCTCCCGGAGTGTCACACATTGAGCCAGGTGGTCTCTCCTTCCATGACGTACTCAACATACTCCATAACCTGCAAGGTGATGTTGTTGCTGCAGATGTTGTTGAATTCAACCCACAGCGTGATACTGTTGATGGGATGACTGCAATGGTTGCCGCGAAACTGGTGAGAGAATTGACTGCGAAGATTTCGAAATGATACATATGTTTTTGGAACAGTAAGCCTGAAGACCAAAAGCTTTCAGCATAACACGGATTTTTGCCGTTTCATTAGAGCTTAACTGAAAATATAAAACATACATCTGCAGTATTTAGATGATGACTATTTATTTTCAGCAATAATATTTCGGGGGGACATCGTTGTGCTTAATCCAATTCAAATCTGATATTAGCAAACATTTTCGAACCTCGGACGCAATTTCGAATATTCACCTTACTACTTAAAAAGTATCAAAACTTTAACGATTCAAGTTATTTTTGTGTATAATGAAAAAACGTGCGAGAAAAAGAACACTGTTATGGGCACTGTTTAGTTACGCTATTCAAACATTATTTTTGTGGAAAGTCAAAATCTAGCCAAACTGGCCATTCCATGGTTCCCAACTGATTTGGTCAGATCGGCTCAAGCCAGTTGGTCAAGATTGATTCTGATTCCTGGCTCTCCCACTACTCACATGGGTGTTGGAATCACATTTCTTCCAAAGATGTTACAGCAAATGTGGTCAGGTGAGGTGTTTTACAAATAGTGGCTAGTAGTCAAGTGAAATAAGACATGCATTTGAACTTTCAATTGGACGCTTTGAAATTGGACATTTCTAGTGTTCTTTAAAGTACATTTCTTGTGTTTTTGTAGGTTGTAGTGAGTCTAGTTCATTGATAGTGTTCTTGTAATACATTTTTAGTAATGGTACTAATGGAGTACTAAGAGCATTTTTAATGGAAAATACAAAATATCTTAAAATGGAAATTTTACATTTTTGGTTGACCGCAAAGCTTTTCAATATGGCTAAGATGTAAAACTAAAACACCCATCTTGGTCGGAAAATGTAAACATTTTTGAAGTTCAATGTATCATCTTTTTAAGTGAGAATAGTAAACATTTCATACTAACACACCTTGACTTGAATGTCCATCTGGATCTCGATTCGAGCTGTATGGCCGACACCTAGAAGGTGGCGAAGTCATAAAGTGTATTGATGTGGAAAAATGTGATAAACTAAAACCTAAAAGTTACTATGACAAGAGTGCGCATGTGAGGGAGATTGAACCTATTTCACATGTAATGTCAAAGCATAAGTAAAATTACATTATAAGTAAATAATGTTTATACCATCAGGAGTAACCTCCTACATGTCAGCGTTTGCCAAAAGTCCTCATCGTTGCCAGAATACTCAACTAAGTCCTAAAGCGGCGAAAAACAAAGGTGAGCGGACCGAAAAACAAAGTTTTGTAAACATTTTTTAAAATGTGTAACCACTTGTTGTAAAACAAGTATTAGTTTCCAACATAACATACTACGTATAATATTAAAACAATTACCGTAAGAACCAAATTTCTACGAATACGGTAAACACAATATCTTGAGGGAATTGTTATTGGCACTCCAAAAATCTCATTTTGCACTCCAAATTTATATAATTAGAAAGAAAAAACACTTGTGAGGAGTGTAGAATGAGATTTGTGAAGTGCTAATAACAGTTCCTTATCTCGAAATCAAATTAAAATATCAGATGCTAATCGACATATGCTGACATATGAGCTCAAGCACAGTTATTCTGACATGAAACAGGACTAGGTGTAATAGTAATTTACGCTCTAGTATGAAGATTGATGATATGTGTATCACATACGAGTCCTAATTGCCTATTGCGATCTAGGACAGGGCTGTCACATACAATGGATCCAAGGTGAGTGTATCGGTGTGAGGTGAACATACACGTGAAGACTGGTCTTGGTCTGAGACGAGTACAAACACCAGTGTAAGCATGCATGATGAGCAAATAATATATGTATGATCATGTCATGATAATTCATAATTCTCAACAATATAATAGTACTTGTAAACATAAATATAGTCATGGCATAATGTAGTAAATACTTTAATACACATCTATGGAAACTACATAAACGTATAATACTTGAAAACAAAAACTCACTCACAATCATGTAATGGGGTCGCAACTGCTTAAACTATGAATGGTGGGGTCATCGATAATAGTTTCACCTAGGCATATATAGGGACCCATTAGTAAAACTCCAATAAAACGATGAATTTGGAGAAACGGGATATGAAATTGGAATCAGCACGTCAAAATACCCTAGGAGGTGTCTTGGGGGAAATTTTGAAAAAGTCAACGGTCCAAGCCTAACGAAATATTCTGTCGACAATGGCCAGAATCTTCTAGATTCCAGTCATCGGAGAGAATATTCTGATAGAACAAAGAATATGCTAGTAACGGAATATACCTTTAGAGTTAGAAGTATTCTGACACCATTAGGAATATAATGTTTGTCGATACAAATTTCCACCGTCTCTAGCTTTGACGAAAATGCACCTACAGGGGTTAGGCCAATGAATCTCCGATGCCTCAATTAGTTTCTTTGAGAAGAGTAAATTGTTTAGGGCTTTTTTAGGGTAGCAAAAGTGTACCGAAATTTAATAAAACAAGGGGTATTTATAAGGGAGTGGCAGGCCATGGTGTTAGGGTGTTAACCTACACATGGCGGCATCCTATTGGCCAAAGTTTTATGGAGAAATATTCTCAAGGTATTAAATAGGAAATAATATTTTGAGATAATGGAGTAATTATCCCTAATTGATTTAAATAGGGATTACTTGAATGAGTCAATCTTCAATTGAGAATGTATTAAAGATAGGATTTGGGTAATTAATCCTTATCTTTAATGCTTTGAATTTTCCTTACCAAAGGTAGGTGAGTTGTGGGCAGTCGTATTCAGCTGCAGGGACCTTCAGTTGTGTGTGCTGCACGTGGGAGTATCTGAGAAGCTTGCCCATTTAATGAGGGCAATCTTGTCTTTCTTTGGCAAAAGTCCACGTGTTGCCTCCATAATATTTGGGATTATTTTAGGCTCCACAAATACCCCCACACCTGCTGGGCTAAACGTGGGAAAAAGGGCAATAAGTGTAAAAATCCAAGCTGTATTGGCTTGTAGAGTTGTTTCCCAATTTGAACTTGATCTCCTTCCTTAATTTGGAGATAGACTTCTTCTAGGAAAAGGAAACAAATCCCCTAATACCTACTTAATTCTGCCTTAAGCAGGGGATTAAATAAATTTGGAGCACAATCATCATTCAAAAAAGGAAGAGAAAAGCCAGAGGAAATTTGTTCCATATCCCCTAACTTTCTTCTTCTCTTGCCCTTGCAAAGAGTCGTCTCTCATTGTTGTTTTTCTTCTTCGTGCCGCACCAAGGTAAGAAAAATTTGAATTTTCTTCTTCTTAAATTTTTGGGAGCTTTGGGGCTCAAAAATATTGGCTTGGCAAGGCCGTGGTTGCATGAGGGATATGGCAAGGGTGCCACAGGGCTGTTGTGCATAGGTGGTGCGGCGGCGAAGTTCGTCTGGCGTGGGCTAGGTGCTCGGCTCGGCTCGGCTTTGGCCAAGATGACAGGCACACTGGGAGGCCAGCTTAGGCTGGGCCTCCAAGGTTGTTGGGCATAGGCCCTTGTAGGCGAAAGGAGATAGAGAGGGAGAAACCGACGTGGGTTGGCTCTTCGGTTCCTGTGACCTAGGCCTAAAGGCCTGAGCCTACTTGAAACGAGTTGGGTACGAGATAAGAAATAGGAAGGAGGCACGTGCTTCCTCCCATGTTGGGCTGAGTGGCGTGGGCTGTATGCATAAGGGACCAAGGGCCTTTGGGTTGCACTGCGTGAGAGAAATGGCTAGGCATTTAAGGTTTGGCTGAGTTAGCGAGTTGGGGCATGGAGCCTGGCACTTGACCATAAATGAATAGGTTATTTGATCTTGGCTTGACCATAAATGAGCTTTGGTACTTCTTCAAAATTGGCCACAATGAAGGTTTGGGGCAGCTAAGGTCTCACCATAGGCTGCTTGATACTTCCTACAAAGGTAATCATGAGTAGGTGAGAGATACGTTTAAGGTAAATGGAGAGTGGAAGTCTGATTTCTCTCTTGAGTGTTCCGATTGTCTTTATCAGTGGTAAGTGAACTGCTTCATTCCTGGCTTGCTTGAATTTTTGTTGAGCTGCTTCATGACTTCAGTTTATTAATCGTCTTTCTTACTTTATGTAGATTCGAAATTTGGCTAAACTCTAAGAACTTTGGCGGATACGAAGAAAGTGCACATCGCCTTGGGCATTCCTACTAAGTACTGTGAGTGGAGCTGGCTACTCAATCATCTTTGTCGGGAGAAAGACGGGCTGCCTCTGAAAGAATAGAGAAAATGGATAAAAGATAAGGTGTTTGCTCGTCCGATCGCTGTTATAGAGCCTGCTACCAGTGAGGGTGGAAAGAAGAGACATTCCTCACCTACTTATGAGCCTTCGACCAAGAAGAAGCCAAAGACTTCTTCTACTGCTCGCGATGGCTCGTCTACTATTGATAAGCTTATCATCGATTTGACTTATCCCAAGGGGACTAAAAAGGCTGTTTAGTCTGAACTTGTGAAACCTACTGTTCCAAAGGTAACCACGGTCATTTTTTAGAGAATGACCCAGTGGAAAGGTTCGGTGGTGCCCTTGGTGTTTGGGTTTGTGTTAAAGCACGCATTGGGAGCTAAGTCCGATTCGGCTTCTGAGAGGCTCACCGTTATGAAGAGCGGGAAGGTGGAATCTGCTGTTAAGATGGCCCTTGGGCCTATTCCTTCTTATGCTGCAACTAATTCGTCTGCTAAGAAAGGGAAGTCTACTTGCACAGGCAGCTGTAAGAGATCCATCGAGTTTGAAGCTGGGGAGTTTCCTGAGATCTGTGCGTTGCTGAAGGCTGACCTATTTGAGGACGTTAAAGCATGAGCCAAGTTTGTTAATAGTGTTAGAAAAGTTTTCGTCCTCTCAGACTCTTTTGTGAAGCGTCCTACCTACTAGAGGAAGTCCTCACTTATTACTACAATGCATAAGATTTTGATCCTGGTAGCTAAGCTTATACGCATCGATCAGGATGTTATCGAGTGTGCTAAGGAGATCGAAGTGGCATTGGCAGCTCAGCTTCGCTCAGCTGCTGAAAAGATCGATAAGCTCGAATCTGAACTCACCGTTTTGAATAGGTATGATGTCTCTACCCCTACTTCTATGCAGCTGGAGAATGCCGAGGGTCAGGGAGTTGGAGAATGTGCAGCTGAAGAATGAAAAGATCGGTCACGAAGTGGCGCTTGCTTCTTGTCAGGCCGATTTCTACAAACTTGGCTATGTAGACCATCTTCA